CTATTAGGTCCATCTGTTCTAGTGTGTTGTTCAGTGCCTCTGTGTTCTTACTTATTTTCTGTCTGGTGGATCTGTCCTTTGGAGTGAGTGGTGTGTTGAAGTCTCCCAGAGTGAATGCATTGCATTCTGTTTCCTCCTTTAATTCTGTTAGTATTTGCTTCACATATGCTGGTTCTCCTGTATTGGGTGCATATATATTTATAATGGTTATATCCTCCTGTTGGTGTGACCCCTTTATCATTATGTAATGTCCTTCTTTATCTTTTGTGACTTTCTTTATTTTGAAGTCTATTTTGCCTGTTACTAGTATTGCAACATGCTTTTTTCTCCCTGTTGTTTGCATGGAATATCTTTTTCCATCCCTTGACTTTAAGTCTGTGCATGTCCTTGGGTTTGAAGTGAGTCTCTTGTAAGCAGCATAAAGATGTGTCTTGCTTTTTTATCCATTCTATTACTCTGTGTCTTTTGATTGGTGCATTCAGTCCATTTACATTTAGGGTGATTATCAATAGGTATGCACTTATTGCCATTGCAGGCTTTAGATTCGTGGTTACCAAAGATTCAAGGTTAGCTTCTTTACTATCTTACTGTCTAACTTAACTCACTTATTGAGTTATTATAAACAGTGCCTGATGTTTCTTTATTTCTGTCCCTTCTTTTTCCTCCTCCTCCATTCTTTATATGTTGGGTATTTTATTCTGTGCTCTTTTGTATTTCCTTTGACTGCTTTTGTGAGTAGTTGATTTTATTTTTTGTCTTTAGTTAGTATTTGGTTGGTCTGATTTCTTTGCTGTGAGTTTATTTTCTCTGGTGACATCTGTTTAGTCTTAAGATTGGTCCCATTTAGAGCAGTTCCTCTAAAATACCGTGTAGAGGTGGTTTGTGGGAGGCACATTCCCTCAAATTTCAGTTGTCTGGGAATTGTTTAATCCCTCCTTCATATTTAAATGATAATCTTGCTGTATACAGTATCCTTGGTTCAAGTCCCTCTGTTTCATTGCATTGAATATATCATGCCATTCTCTTCTGGCCTGTAAGGTTTCTGTTGAGAAGTCTAATGATAGCCTAATGGGTTTCCCTTTGTAGGTGACCTTTTTCCTCTCTCTGGCTGCCTTTAAAACTCTGTCCTTGTCCTTGATCTTTGCCATTTTAATTATTATGTGTCTTGGTGTTGTCCTCCTTGGGTCCCTTCTGTTGGGAGTTCTGTGTGCTTCTGTAGTCTGAGCAACTGTTTCCTCTCCCAGTTTGAGGAAGTTTTCAGCAATTATTTCTTCAAAGACACTTTCTATCCTTTTTTCTCTCTCTTCTTCTTCTGGTACCCCTATAATGTGGATATTGTTCCCTTTAGATTGGTCACACAGTTCTCTTAATATTGTTTCATTTCTGGAGATCCTTTTATCTCTCTCCACGTCAGCTTCTATGCATTCCTGTTCTCTGGTTTTTATTATATTAATGGCCTCTTACATCTCATCCACTCTCCTTCCAGAGACTGTTTTATTTCTGTAGTCTCCCTCCCTACTTTGTCTGTTAGCTTCTGCATTTTTCTCTGCAGCTCCATCAGTATGGTTATGACCTTTATTTTGAATTCTTTTTCAGGAAGATTGATTAGGTCTGTCTCCCCAGGTTCCCTCTCAGGGGAGGATATCTGTGTGATTTTTGTCTGTATCAAATTCTTCTGCCTTTTCATTGCGATAGAGGTTTGTTGTGGGGAGTTGGCATGTGTGTCAGCTGGGAAAACATCCCTTTCTGCTAGTTGGTGGCCTTCCTTTCCTGGGAGAACTGCAACCTCTTGTGGCTTTTACTGGGCAGCTGTGCACAGACAGGGTCTCTGATTTTTGCCTGGCCACTGTGGAGTAAGCTCCATGCAGCTGCTGTGGTTGTGGCTGGCCTCAGGCTGCTGCTCTGCTAGGGTGGAGCTGTGCCAGAGGAGGAATGGGTGGGAGGCTGTTTATCACCTTGAGGGGCCTCCAAGCTGCCCTGTCGCTCAGGGGGTTAGGGCACCCAGAGTTCCCCAGGATTCCCAACTGCTGGGCTGAGTGCACCAGGACGCTTCCATCCAGCTGTGAGGCCCCTATCCCTTTAAGTCTTTTGAAAAGTGCTTGCTTTTCTTTGTCCCAGGGGTGCCTGCTGTGGGGACCCACTCGCAGGTTTTACTGTCCCACTTCCCTAGTATCCAGCACACCACACACTGTGTATCTGTGCTCTGGTGTGGATGGCTAGGTCTGGGTATTTAGCAGTCCTGGGCTCCCTCTCCCTCCCCGCACCAACTCCTCTCCTCCCACCAGGAGCTGCAGTGAGGGGCACTCAGGTCCCACCAGGCCGCGGCTTGTATCTTACCCTCTTCGCGAGGCCCTGGTTTCTCGCAGGTGTAGATGTAGCCTGGCTGTTGTCCTGTAACTTCTGGTCTCTCTTTTAGGAATATTTGTATTTGTTGTATTTTCAAAAATATATATGGTTTTGGGAGGAGATTTCCACTGCTCTACTCACACCGCCATCTTGGCTTCTCCTGGACTTTTTTTTTTCAGTTAAGGAAGATTAGAGAGATTTATAAAGATTAATAATACACTGCAGGGAAAATTTAAACCCTGTGTAAACCTAATGAAAAAAATATAATCAAAGCATTTTTTTTACCAGAAATTAAAAAATAAAGCAGCTCTCTTGGGAAGGATAGCTTATTGAGGAAACTCATTTTGATGCTGACAATTTATAAGCATCAGGTGTAAGTAAAATGGCTTCTAAAATGTAGATTTCCTATCTTTTTAACCTACTTTGGGCTATCTCTAAATTGAGAGTGCTAAGATATTTATACTCAGAAAGGTTTTCCCATTGCAGGTAGTTATGGAAATGTAGTCTCATAGAAGGATCAATGAATTTAATGAATGAATTCATTTATGAACTCTAATTAAATTATTCATCATAGCATTTGACATTATTTTTTCTTCATGCAATGTTGGGATTACTGTTCTTTTATTCCTTGACCTTCATGCTGAAGCACCCAAATCCTGCCCTTCTAACCTCTTCAGTTATTCTTGAGGTCATTTACTCTTCTTAGTTTTAAAATAGATTTAAAATACAACTGGGATGTTAAATCATCTAAACATGTCATTTTGAATTTGATTAAGTGCTTTAAATTATAAAGTACTTTCTAAATGGAATGTATTTTTATATATCACCCTTCCCTTTTCAAGTCTCTGTCACATGTACACCTATCAGCATGGGTTAATCCTCTTACTCTACGTATGTGATGTCCAAGGATAAAGGAAAGAAAGGGCTGTCAGTGTACTGCTTAGGGGAGTCTGGAAATGTGCAAAGGTCACTCCATCACAAGTGACCCCCCTAAAGTTTATGGTATCCTTCTTCATGGATTGGTAAAAATCACCCATAGGTACTAATCTGGCATGGATATTCAACCTTGGAGAATTCAGGTGAGTAAATATCTTTTCTGTATAAAGATGCATAAGCCTGCCTCACTAGATGTTGAAATTTCATGAAAGTTATTCTGAGTGTTCAATTTCAGAAGAAAAATGGAATTTCCTAGCAAATGAGCCTATGAAATAAGTAAATGGAATCAGATGGCATGATTTTTTTTCATTGAAATTATTTCAATAAATAAAAATTATAAATTTTCTAAATTTTCTAAAATTTCTAAAAAAGGATTTGTAAAGGGGACTGTATAGTGTAGTGGAATAATACTGGGTTAGGAATTAACCTGAGTTCTAGTCCAGGTTGAAATACTAAAATGTCACATGATTTTGCCCACATCTCATCACCTTTCTGGGCCTCTGTTCTCATTACTATAATGAGAGGACTTGACAGGTTGGCATCTTAGGGTCCATTTGGACCTAATACTCTGATTCCAAGTTATTGCAACTGATGATTTATGTATATTACTTGAATGTTATGTCAGTATAGATATAAATTATAATGTAAAAAACACTTATTGCCCATAGACGAATAACAGTTGTTTTAGAATTTCATGTACCAGTGATATGAACTTGTTTTTACAGGTACATTCCTCTCATTGAAAGGAGCTGTGCTAACATTCTCCTGTATGGACCGAACTGGCAGATTAATGCAACCACCATACGAAATTTGGAGAGATCCAAACAACATAGATGAAAATGAAAAATCTTGGAGAAGGAAACTGGTCATGAACTGCCCCTCTCCATCTCAAGAAATAGGAGATCATCAGTATACAATAGTCTGCTCAGAAAAACAAGCCAAAGTCTTCTCGCTGCCTTCGCAGACTTGCCTTTATGTTCATAACATCACGGAGACGTCTTTTATACTGCAAGCAGATGTGGTAGTCATGTGTAACAGTGCCTGCTTGGCATGCTTTTGTGCCAATGGGCATATCATGATGATGAGGTACTTGCCTTCTTTATTATCTGGCAATCACAACAGTGCCAACAAGGTACAATTCTAAAAAGTGTATGTGTAATATGCAAGATGTTTTCACGAAGCAACCTTAGATCATTGTTTCATTATGTTTGTGAATGGTTTATTGTTCAACAATTTAAGGACAGTTTAGGTTTTTTGTTTTTGCAGGCTTTTTTTTGCTAAAAATGCTTTGCATTGAGAATGAAATATGTTTTTTAATCAACACCAAGGGATGTAAGGAAAGAGTGATTTTCTAGTCATTCACACATTCAACAAACATTTATGGAGTATATGTTATGTCCCAGGTGCTATGCCGGGCACTGGAAATAGAAAAGTGAATAAGCTACAAAGAAAATAAATGAGCTGTTAGTTTCATGGTGTTTCATAGCCACACAAGAATTTTATATATGGAATTTAATGTGATCCTTATGCTTCTCTAGGACATAGGAAAAAAAGAATTATTTGCATCCTCCATTTTACATATGTTAATTAAAAGTTTAAATTTGCCTGAGGTTGTGAGTCTAAGGAAAAGTGACACCAGCACTGAACAGTATACTGAAAGACATCACCTAATTTTTTTCCAGCTTTCCTGAGATATAACTGACATACAACATTGTAAGTTTAAGGTGTACAACATGATTATTTTGATATATGTATATGTTGTTATTATAAAATGACTACCACAATAATGTTACATATCTATCACCTCACATAGTTGCCACTCGTGTGTGTGTGTGTGTGTGTGTGTGTGTGTCTCTAGGACATAGGAAAAAAAGAATTATTTGCATCCTCCATTTTACATATGTTAATTAAAAGTTTAAATTTGCCTGAGGTTGTGAGTCTAAGGAAAAGTGACACCAGCACTGAACAGTATACTGAAAGACATCACCTAATTTTTTTCCAGCTTTCCTGAGATATAACTGACATACAACATTGTAAGTTTAAGGTGTACAACATGATTATTTTGATATATGTATATGTTGTTATTATAAAATGACTACCACAATAATGTTACATATCTATCACCTCACATAGTTGCCACTCGTGTGTGTGTGTGTGTGTGTGTGTGTGTGTGTGGTGCAAACTTTTAAGATCTACTGTCTTAGCAACTTTCAAGTACACGATATAGTTAACTATAGTCACCATGCTGTACATTAGATCCCCAGAATTTATTCATCTTGTGTGTACCCTTTGACCACCTTAATAATAAGGTATCAGCTGAGAGAGTTCTTTATATTATTTGTAACTGAAATAAAATTCCTGAGACACAAAATTATTACCTAATAATTTTATGAATTCAGCACTTAATAAACATTATATGTAGCAGTCACTGTCATTCATTTTAATACCTCACCTAGTTCCAAAAGTCACCAAGACAGTTAAGTATTATACTAGGCCTATAAAGGATATAAAAATTATTAAAAACTAATCTAAAACCTTGAGAAGCTTACTGTCAAAATTAGAAGATACACAGATACGTAAGTAATTATAACACAAAGAACATGTGTATTCCAACAGATGAAATACAGGATTGAATCTTCTGGTCACAAACTAGGTCCTCAGGGTTCAAAGTCATAAGATAGTTGAAAAAATATGTTATAAAAAAGGAGTTGTTGGGAGGAAAGTAAACTGGAGAAATAAGTTACGGCAAATTGTTGAGAACCTTTGTGGCAGGCTAATGAGTTTGACATCAATTAATAGGAAATGGGGCTTTTAAACCAGATAATTAACCTGCTCTAGCTATTCACTAGGAAATACACTTGGACAGCTTGGGATAGGCTTTTGGAGTGGTAGCTACATAGAAGGAAAGATGGAAACAGATATGAGAGATAACTGAGGGAAACTTTGCTGACAATAAAAAAACTGGTTGTGAAAGGTAATGGAGGTCATTAACTCTCAGGATTAGAACTTAAAAATTAGAAAAAAGTTTTATGAATTTGGGTGACAGTGATGTCATTAGCAGATACGAAAAGAGAATTTGGAAAGGCTAGTAAGTTTGAGAATGGAAAATTTTGAGGGATTTGAGGTGCTTATAGGCCATCTTACAGATGTTTAGCAAGTAATTTAAGGTCTGAAAACTTAGAAAAATACAGGTGGAAGATCAAGCTCTGTAAGTTGTCTATGTAAATGCATTAGTAAAAGTCATTTCAGTGAATAAAGAGGATAGGATAAAACGAGAGGAGGAATGATTTGGGGACAAAAACTTGGGGGTACTCTGTGTTTACATATTGGAACAGACAAGAAAATCCAGCCAAGAAGATTGAGAAGAAACTATTAGAGATAGGAAAAGGACAAGAGTAGTATAACTTCATGAAATAAAAAAGAATAGGAAAGTATCAAAACAAAGGTTAGAAGACCACTAAGACAATGATCAAGAGGGAGTCAGATATAACAGATAAGTCAAAGATTTTGGTCTTTGGTCAAATTAGAATTAGGTCAAATATTGGTCTCCCAGTCTGATATGAGGCTTAATACCTAGACAATCCCTAAGACTATATTTAGTCGCTCAAAATTTTTCTTTTAAAAGACAAACATATGTCACAATTGAGATTTTAGCTTCATGATGATTGCTTGCCTTGCTTTTGAAAAATTTTTATGTTTTGTTTTCTCAAATGGTGTTGTGTATATCTGAAAATTAATTTCTATTTAAATGAATATGTTCTACCATCTACATTTATGAAGAGGAAGATTTCTTGAGAAATGAAAAGAGTTTAAAAAGCAACAGGGAAAACAAGAAAGAAAGAAAACGAAACAAAACAAAAAGAGCAACAGGAGTCATAGCAACTGGAGAGCTGTGATATCTGTCTTCATCTGCACTTTGTAAAAGCTCCTTACATGATAATGCCTACTTTAATATTATGTCCTAGTGGACATTCATGTGATCCTGAGGATATCAAATAGGAATGATTTTGACATAATCTTAGTAATATATAAGGTATGACTAGGAAATAATATGTGGCTCGCTTGAGGAACTGAATACTACTATTGGCATGCTCCTGAAGTTGATCATTTTCCCATACTAAGTACTTTGCCAGATCTTTCCAGACCCTATCAGAAATTAATTATACCAAGTCAAAACTCAAACCCTAGTTTTCTGATGGTAGCTAATGATTGCTTATGTGGTAATGTAACCTAGAAAATAGTAGAGCTATAAGAGGCTTATTATCTATATAAGAGTTCTCAAACTGGGCTGTGAAACCCATTTTTAGTGAGAACCATCTTTAGTTAGCTGACATTATTTCCTTATAAAAGTATCCCTGCACAGAAGAAAATCTACTTTTTTTTTCCAGCTTTAGTAGCACTTGTTTCCTAGCCATTAGCAACTGACTTATTCTTTTCCATTTGTTACCTAAAGTAATTACATCTTTTATTTTAGTTTATTGGCTTACTTGTATTAAGCTACCTAGACTATGTAGCTCATCAGAATCTATTGAACCTCTTCCCTTACACTATCCATTAATTCAACTGAATCTGTTGTGGAAGTCTACCTGTTTTGGATTCATGTCCTAAGAAGATTAATTAGTTGAAATGCCATAACATGTTTTTTATATTTTATATACTAAATCTTAGAAATCCAGTATATAATTTACAGTTAAAGAACATCTCAATTCAGATAAGCCACATGCCAGCTGCTCTGTAGCCACATGTGGTGGTGGCTACCACACTGGACAGCACAGTGCTAGGACCTCTTGAAAGGCTTATTCCAATAGCACAGATTTTAGGTTCCATTTTATGTAGTAAAATTCTAGGGATTAAATTATAGTCACAAACTTCTTTGATTAAAAAAATCAATATTTTTTTCAAGGTGCTGGTTTTATGATAATTTAAAATCATTGTGCACACTAGAATCAGTAGAATGATTTCAAAGCTTGAAATTTAGTTATAAATTTATTTTTCCACTTTTGGCATTAGAAGTATGATTTAAAAACAATAAGGTTGGTTTTCTTCAGTAGTTTATAATACTAGCTTTAATGACAATACCCGGAGGGACATTATGAATATTTAAGCAAAATCACTGGCCACATTAGGATAAGCATACCAGCCATTCAGTAAGACACTTGAGATGCATTGTATTCATTTGGCTGTGCAAATTCTGATCTACTATTTATAACTCATTCTCATTCCCTCACAGCTCTGGCTGTATTTATTTATTAATCATGCCTTGGTGCAGGTGCCCTAAGTCACAGGTAATTTTCATTTCCTCTGTATAAAGGAAATAAGAGAATGGGGGTCAAATCCATTCCATTCCCAGGCACAGTGAACTGGGCCTGCTTCACCTCTCCATCAGTGCATAACCTCCTTGGACTCAGGGGTTCTGCCTTAAAAAGAGACAAACATTCAGGTATGCAGTCAACCACTTCCTAGCTGTGGTGTTTCTGCCATAACACAGACTATTACCATATCGTAGGAAACTGTGAAATGCTGCAAAAAGGATCCTGAAATGGCTGGCCACTGCATTTAAACCACCCTTCAAGGGTATCTTGCTAAGTATCTATATTGTGTAAGGGAAGGAACTGTGTCCATGATTTTTTGTGTATATATTCTATGTGAAAGTCTAGTTTATTAACACTGAGATTTCAAGATGATTAAAAAACACAAAGTAGTGGTATAAAAATTACTGTTTTTATGAAAGGATCAGTAAATTTTATAGAGAAATTAAAAGCTTTTAACAACTTGAATATGAAATGTGGATTTGCTTTTTTCCATTCAGCTTACCTAGTCTACGCCCAGTGTTGGATGTTAATTATTTGCCACTGACAGACATGAGGATAGCAAGGACATTTTGTTTTACCAATGAAGGACAAGCATTATACCTCGTCTCTCCTACTGAAATTCAGCGATTAACATACAGCCAAGAGATGTGTGATAATCTACAGGTAGGTCTGGCAGATTTATGAAAAAATGTTGGACATGGTTGTAAAAAGAGAAAGAATGAGAAAGTTGTCTAAAAACTGAACCATTACTGGGCCAGACAATAAATACTCCTTCCCTAGAATGTGCTTTAAGTATATATTCATCATTGTGATCCTACCAAGACCTACTATGGTTCTAGGTAACACAGAAAAAATAAGAAAGAGGGGGAGAATGTGAAGATCATTAAATACTAATGGTTAATTTTTTGTTTATTTTGTTGTTTGTTATTTTGCCTATGGAGAATCCTCTGAAAGATTATAAACTCTCCCTCCAAGGTTGGGAAATATGTACGTACACACAAAATTTTGCATTTGGTTCAGGGAGTTCATGGATTTTTTTTGAAGAAAAATTAATTTTAAGAGCCATACAAAATAAATACATATCCTGTGGGTTATAATTGGGCATTTGTATTTGATCATAGCAGTAGAGCCTCAAAGCAGAATAAATATAAATGTCTATCTAACCTTAGTTACGTAAAAGTGGTCACAAAATTTTAAAAGAGATCTTAATCAGTAATTGGTTCAACACCCTCATTTTATAAATTAGAAAATTAAAACCTGTTCTTTGTAATATAGAGGCTAAGAGTATAAAGTCTAAAATATTTAAGTTGTAATTTTCCCACTTAATCTACCTGTATGCTTTACCTTGGAGCATCATTATGAGAATTAAATAAGAATTCATATAAAACACCGACTGCAATGTGCAGAACATAGTAAGCTTGTAAAATATTATTGTTATTTAGCAAGTATTTATTTTATACTATATGCCTGGTGCTATCTAGGAATACAATGAAAAAAAAAGATACAAGACCCTACCTGCTGGTGTGGAGGCATAAACAGACAAGCAGAATACTCTGCAAAGTACATGCCAGCAGTGCTGGGGGACATGGAAGAGGGTACTTGGGTTGATGAAACAGAAGGGAGGGGGTTAGTTAGAAAAGGCTTGTAAGGGGAGAGTCCGTATTATACACTGGAGTGAATGGCTGGGGTTGGGAAAAGTAATGATACTCTCGACAGAGTAGTGGCCTGGGAAAGCCCAGGGGTTCAGGAAACTGGGAACCAAGTACAGAGTTAGGAAGTGAAAAGAGTGGAGGGATGGTGCTGGAGAGTTAGTGATGAGTAGATTTTGGAGCACCTTGCAAGCTCCTTAAGGAATCTAGCATTTATCCCAGCAATAGTAAAGGTTGTTAGAAAGGTTTAGTAAGTTTGTTTATTAAAACTAATATTCTGGCTGCAGTATGGCAACTGGTTTTGAGGAATTAAGACTGAAAGTAGGGAGAACAATTAGGAAGCTTTTTCTAAATAGTTAAGGCCAAAAATGACAATGGCTTTAAGCGAGGCAGCTCCAGTGACGGTGGAGAAATGTTAGCAGATTCAACAGCTATAATGGGTAATCCATTGGAAGGAAGGTTATTAGATACTCAGTGAGGGAAAGGAAGGAATTAATGATTATTTCTGGGTTTCTGGCTTGAGAACCAAGTAGATGGTGCTGCCATTTCCAAAGAGAAGGAATTCAGGAGAAAGCACACAGGCCTGGAGAGCAGCAGTGAGGGGTGACAATGAGGATAAAGTCATGCTGCAAGTTCACAAACTGATATCAGGTCACAGATCTCTTGAATTTTGGCTTCCTCCCTATCAGTGGTTCTCAAATTTTGGGTCTGCTTTAGAAGGACCTGGAGAACAACTTTAAAATACATATAACAAGAGCACATCTATGTAGATTCTGCTTTAGTATGCCTGGAATAAAGCCTGAGCATCTGTATTTCTAGGAAGATATTTCTCCAGTCAATTTAAAGCATGTCGACTACTGTGAACAATGGCACCTTACCATGCAGAGCTATTTTGACCCATTTAAATTATCTTGAGCCATTTTATAATTTTGTACTTGATATGAAAATAAATCCAGTCTTCCTCTGCCTACTGCTAAAAGCTTCCTATATTGTATGGCAGTCCATGTTGGTTCAGGAAAGAGTCTATGTTAGTGGAAAAAACATCAGAAGTCTAGACTGGCAGTCCCCGATCAGGTGAAAATTAATCCTAAGGTGAGTATATTAGCTTTCCATGCTTTCTAATTACAGAAAGGAGAAGAGGGCAGAAAAATGAAAACTTCAGGATGTCAGTTACTGGAAAAGGGAAGGAAAAGGAGGTGCAGAAAGAAATGCCAGAGATAGAACTGGGAGCAAAGCAAAAATCAGCAGGAAAATACATGGAAAGCAGGCTTTTTTTCACGATGTGCTCTAACACACTACAGTGTGTTACATCTTTTGACCTATTCATTTATAGTTGCTCTACTGCTTTTTTCTTTTAATTTGATATAGGACATGCTCGGAGATTTGTTTACTCCCATAGAGACACCAGAGGCTCAAAACAGAGGCTTTCTCAAGGGCCTGTTTGGTGGAAGTGGACAAACGTTTGACAGAGAAGAGCTCTGTGAGTAAACTCCTGATTATAAAACTATATCACAAAATAGAAAACCTGTTTCTGTGTATGACTTAATGTAGTATATAATATCAAATTGTAGACTATGTTGTTTTTTTTGCTTCTATACCATGAAAAGTATTGCTATACCAAACATGAATAAAATTGATCACTTTGTAATAGGAAATAGTTTGACAAAAATAGTACATGGAATTCATAAAATAATGAGTAATCTAATAAATATATCATTTGCAGGTAGATTATAACCTGCAAGTCAGGGCGAAGACATTCAGTTACTAAACTCTGGAAAAAAAGTCTTTCTGAATCTGCCTGCCTTCCATCACTGCTGGGAAACAAGAATCTTTATTCATAAATCAAGATTTATCAATGCTACAGAATAAATTACTTTAAAAATTACCCAGTGAGACTCTTATGAATCCAAAAGCAGTAGAAAGATACTAGGGAACATTTTAGAGAGAAATGAAGATCCATTGGCCGTGCAAATCAAAACTCCTTTTCCCTGAACTTTCAACTATGCAAAAGATCTAAGTGTCCCATACAACAGAATATTATTAACCCATGAAAAGAAATGAAGTTTAAGGGTTGGGGTGGGGGTCAAGGAGGGTGAAGGGGATAAAGGGACACAATAATTCACAGTCACAATGTAAGCTGGTCATGGGGTGGCAGTACAGCATGGAGAATATAGGCAATGATTCTGTAACATTTTACTATGTTGATAGTAACCACTAGTGAGGGTGAGGATTTAATAATATGGGTAACTGTTGAACCAACCACTGTGTTGTATATTTGAAACCAACATAAGATTGCATATCAAGGACACTTTAATAAAAAAGCAAATAATAATACAATGGGAAGCAAAGGCGAGGGAAAGAAGGGTAATAAGAGCATAGAAATTCTCATACCACACCTTCACAACAGTTACCCCTACACACACACACAAACACACATACACATACACACACACACACACACACACCACCACCACCACCACCACCACCATCAGCACCATCACATAATCACTATTCAATTCTATAAGAACAATAGAAAACTCTGGAGCAGTGTGGGAGATGGATTGGATAGGACTAGGTCAGAGGCATGAAGAGTGGACTTCTCCAAAAATTCCATCTTAGCTTCAAAACAGGAAGAGGAAGGTAAATTTGAAGAGCCTACTTTATTTATTATTTGATCCATGGAAACGTAAAAATTATGTTCTCCAAAATTCCTCTAAATTTAAATTTTTTATATAACCAGAGAAATACAGTAAAGGAAGAGAGGCAGAAAAATTTCTTTAGATTCAAAGAACTTCCCAGTGTATTAAAAAAAACAAAGGAACTTGATAACACAAAGAAGCATCTGCAACAGAAAGAATTCCCCATTCCCTCCCCCCAACACAGCGCACCTTTCCCCAGTGCAGGAGGGGAAAGTGCTATAATTTTTCACTTGACTGTCAAACCTCATTTGCCTCTTCCCCAATTTAGTTCTGGGCTTGATAGATAGGAAGTGTTCACACAGAAATGGCTCTTAAGATATTCTAAAATAATTAAGCTGCACACAGTTTCTTTAGCTGAAAGATTCTCTAAGCATTCTTCCATGGATAGAAAATACACGTGGTGACTTAAAGGCTCTGAGTGTTAGTATTCAAAAGGCATATTGAAAGTGTGATGAACCTGAAAGGACAGACTACAAATAAAAATAAACTGGATGATTCTACTAAGAAAAAAAATGAGGTTTGATATGTGCTACAACATGAATGAACGCTGAAAATATGCTGAGGTAAAGAAGGAAGACATAAAAGGCCACATAATGTGAGGTTCCATTTATATGAAATGTCCAGAACAGACAAATCTGTAGAGACAGAAAGTAGATGAGGGGAAGCCCGACACTGAGGCAAGGAGGGAAGGGTAGTGGCTGCTATGGGGAGAGCTTCTTTTTGGGATAATGAAAATGTCCTAAAATTAGATTGTTGCACAACTCTGTGAATATACTAAAAACCACTGAATTGTACAACTTAAAAGGGTGAACTTCATGGTATGTGAACTATATCTCAATAAGGCTCTCATTAAAAAAAAAATAGATCTAAATTTCATTCCTAATGTTACATCCTTGGAAATGCTCACTAAATTTCTATCAAGATAGCTGTTTTCCAATTTTAAAATATTTACTTCATTAAAATTAAATGAAACTGAGCTTGTAAGAGATGAGGAAATTTTTAGTCTTTTATAAAGTAACAAAATTTCAACATATGTATATTAATGTCCATCATGCATATATCCTATTCTCTAGGAATTACACAGAACAAGAGAGATTTAAAACAATTGAGGCCTGTACAGGCTGATAGCAAGATGAACAGAGAAGGTTGGAATGAAGACTTGGGCAGAAATTTAAACAAATCATCAGGTCTGAAATTGGGGCAGACATTAATATGGGTTAAATATGATGTCACATCTATCGGGGGCATCCCAAATTCAGCAACGTCAAATGCAATTATGCCGTTAAACTTCCCCCACATGCACACCCACAGGCATGTAGTAAGAATGCCTCTCATAGTCTCTTTCAGTTATCTTTCTTGGGTAAGTGCTAACATCTCCAAACACCTACTTGTGGCAGGATCAAATATGTCTGTGTCTGAATGAGAATTATGATAGTAGAATTTAACCTAAGTACATGGGTGATAAACTTGACTATAATTATTTGAATTATTGACAATATGTTTTGAACTGCAATGTCTTGAACCCCCAGTTGGGGAAGCTTCAGCAGGAAAAGCATCCCGCAGCCTTGCGCAGCACATTCCTGGACCGGGTGGTATAGAAGGGATGAAAGGCGCTGCTGGAGGGGTGATGGGAGAGCTGACCCGCGCGCGGATGGCTCTGGACGAGAGGGGCCAGAGGCTCGGAGAGCTGGAAGAGAAAACCGCAGGCATGATGACGAGTGCCGAAGCGTTTTCCAAACATGCGCACGAGGTAAACTGTCTCAGATAATACCAACATTTCCATACTGTAATCATTTCAAACTTTTGAGTCCTGCATAAGAAGGTTCAACAGAGATGCTACTGTAAGTAACTGACAGTCAAGAAACCCCGATCTCAAGTGTTGTAATTCCCCCAGTATTTGGGAGAAAAGGGGTTTTTTAAAATACTACAATATGTTGATATTTCTTTACCTTAGGAAATAATTGAAGGAAAATTATTCATTGGTTCTTATACATTGGGTCAATATTGTGCATCAGCTGCAAAAGATGCTCAGGTAGATTATGTGATACCCCAGAAGTAAGGGGGCAGTAGAAGCTGGGATCCACACATCCCTTTTAGTGTCAGTCATTACAATTCATTACCAAAAGCTGAGTCTTTACAACTTAACTAATTGGGTTTTTTTTGCTTTTTTTTTCATATGCACTTAATTTCACAAAATAAAGGGAATTTTATAAGTTTCAAGATTTAGATATGCATGATTAGCTCAATGTGAGCTTCCTTTGATTAGCACTTTTAAAGATTTTTTTAACATCTCATAGTGATTATATTTTCTTTGCAGCTAATGTTGAAATACAAGGACAAGAAATGGTACCAATTCTAAACACCTAAAGAAGCTGTGACTGCTTTGAGAAATCATTATTCAGGGAAACCAAATTTATTCCCAGAGTCACTATTCAACTGCTAGAAGACAGTTTCTTCTACAAAATGTTTCATTACAGTCCATCGGAAGTTATCATAAGGGAGATTTTTGAGAGACACTGTACAACCCAAAGACTGGAACCCTGGCTAAAATCCCAAGATATAGCTGAATTTGTCTTTGCCATATGGAATAGAGCTATCATCTTGGCATGTCGTTTACAAAGGATTTACATTTAGGAACTACAGGGAGTCCTTCTTATTTGAAAAAAATTCTGTACAAACAAACAGATTAATGCACTTAATGAAAAAAATCTTTGCATGATAAATTAACATCTTAAGAGGAAAAGAAAAAAAGCATGTTGTGACAGAAGAAAAAAAATTTATGGTTAACTATTTTTGTAAATGGGCCACACCTTACAATTTTTAAAAATCTGCATTTGAAGATATCAGTGCATTTCAACTACATTTGCCATACCCAACTGAAAAAGAATAGAAAACCAGAGTTTTGTTCACATTATTCTAGGACATCATTGAATTCTTGTGGCAAGAGTCTAATGTTCTTCTCTCTATATAATACATCATTCACAGTTCTCAGTCATAATCAAGTATAGCCAGTATAGTAAATTATTCCTAACACAATCATTTCCATTTCTTTTACCTTCAGAACAAGTTGCTATTTTTAGTCACAAACCATGCAGAGTTAGGTGATCCCAAAACATCCCTTCAGCCTGACTTGTACTCTGCAGGGGAGTTGATGATGGGTCTGAGAAGTTATATAGGGACAGTGCAGTTAGCTTTGAGAACTGACTTCACACACTCTGGTTTCAGTCTCTAGAGCGACATATTTTTAATGCTCCATTTGTGTCCTTGTCTGCCAATCACACAGTATATTACTGTTTAAACCCAGGGGGGTCTTCAATCCAAAGGTGCTCTTGCAGCCTGACACTCACAGACCAAACTGGTCATTCTCTTTAGTATGATTCAGTAAAACCTCAGTTAATGTTTTGGGAAAGGGATTCTGATTTATTTCATTTCTGATTAACAAGGGCTTTCATTAGAAAATACTTTTTGGTTCAATACTTATTACTAAAATCTTTATAAAATTTAGTGGTATTTGCTATCTTGGCTTGCCACGATTATGGACAGCAGAAATAGAGAGAGTTTAGTGATACAAAATCAGTAATTTTGCCACTCATTAGACTAGGTAATATAAGCCATAGGATTATGTTAATAGATACCAAACACCTATTCCTTACTAAAACTTTTAAATGGAATAAAGAATATCTTTGACATGATAAAAGTTATCTATCATAACTCAACAGAGCACTATTAAAGGCAAAGTAAAACAAAGATAATGCACTCTTATTTAACATGATTCTGGAAGTCTAAAGTCATAAGAAATGAATACGGAACCCATGCTGTAATACATTGTTCCTTTAAAGAGAATGTCTTCAAAAGAATAATAGATTTGGCTTATTGTATTTTGATTAATCAAGGCCTTACTATATTTATATTTGTGTTTCTTAAGAATTCACTATTTTCCTAAAGTCCAGATTACTTAGTCAAAAATAATATTGGAGTGTTTGTGGATTTTTTTGTATTTAACTTTTATTTGTTTGAAGTGACACTTCCTTTAAATGTTCTCAGTAATTCTAAGAAAAGCAAAGATGATGGAAAGAGTCAGAAAATGCATACCAGGATAGCATTTCTCAGAGTCCTTGAATTCTCCTGATTTCTCAGAATAGCCTTTCCATGAATCTGTACAGATTCCTGTGAACAGCGTTGGGGTAACAGAACCTGACTTGGAAATGCAAACATGAGACATAAAATTATATAGCAAAAATATTAAGGAAATTTGAGTCCAGAATTTAGAAAACTTCATAACAAACTGCAGAAGACTATTTGTACCATCAGTTTCAAGGACCCAGTTTTCTGATTTTCTGAACAGATACCTTATCATTTCAACATTTAAAAAAAAACCTAAAAGAGCAAAATAGTAGTTTATTTTAGGAATGATGAAATTCAGTCCAAAATGGTATTAAATTCAATGAATATCTCTGAAGTCAGAGTTAATTTGTTCTCTACCAGGGTTTCTTAACAGTCGCACTATTAACAGAACATTCTTTGTTATGGGGACCATCCTGTGCACGTGGGATGTTTAGCGACATCCCGGGCCTCTGTCCACCAGATGCCAGGTAGCAACCCCCAGGTATGAGTATCAGAAATGTCTCTAGATGTTGCCAAAGTGCTCCCAGTTGAGAGCCACTGTTATACATCACTTAAAGGCAGGTGAAGTGTGAATAAGTAATAAATGCCTTGTATAAAATTAAATATCATAAGTACACAGTGTCTTAAAACAAATCATACCCAAAATTACATGTGTGGTTCACATGCAATAAAATACTATTTTGGAGTAAGCTTATATGAACCAGTGAAAAACAACAATTACAGAATATTTTAAAGCATACCAAGAAAAAAACCGAAAGGACAAGATAGCATTTCGTTGAGATTAAAATTCTGGCTGTAATGAAAAGATCAAGTTTATAATTAGCATATCAATTGGAAGTAAACAGGTGCTTCTGAAATGCTTGAAAAGAATGGGTTCCTTTAAGTATTCTAAATTGTCTTTCAATATTTTTATAAAACCTTTCTTACTGTAAAGGTAACGTCATCCCACAAACTCCTGATTAGTGGAACACAAATTAATGGGGTTTTACTGTATCAAAATTATTTTTATAATTCAGAGAGCAATAACAAGAATCTAATGTGGGTGTAATTTTTCTCTTTGAACATTTCTGTTCTGTTGTACTGACCTTAGCACGTGTAGATACACACACCATCACCACCACCACCACTGTCTTTGGAAAAGAAGTACTGTTGATCAATGTCATTCTTTACATCTCTCTTCTCTACTATCTAAATCTTTGCCTTTATCTTGGAACATAAGAAAAATACTCCTACTACCTTGGACAATGATAGAGAAAATGACTGGGCCTTAGTTGTCATCACAATTACATTGTATCTGCTAAGGTGGCACCAGAAGGTAAGGCTTGCAAACTAGCCTCTCTGAGTTGCCCTTATCTCCCTATGACCCACTCAAGAGATAAGCCCTTCTTTCACTACAATGAAATGATCCACTAACCTTGGAGTCTGGAGAGGATGTTTAGCATTTATTTAATACCCTGGGTCAGTAAGACTCAGACTTAGTACCCCCGTCATCAGGGTTGCTGCCTAACTGTGGAAGGACAGTGACAGAACTGAATAAAGTGTTTTCCAATAATTTAGTCATAAAGACAATTCTTCGAATCTTTTATATAATCTTTGAGAGATTCTCAAGTTAATAAATGAGAATCCAGCTCTCTATTCCTCAAAGATCTTAAGGAATTATAAAGGAAAAAATTTACTGTTGGAGTCCCTTTTTATGTGACCTATGTGTCCAATTTTAGAGATACCATCTGTCTATAATCTGCATAAGGAATCACCATGGCTTTGAGAAAGATAAAAACAATTATGCCTCAAGTTGGTTGAAAAAGATTAAGAGTTAGCTTTTTGAGATTCTTGGTTATAAAATTTTTGGCAATAGGGAAAATGAAGCAGGTCTAGAAAAGTAAGCTACAGATCTTTTCCTTGGTTTAGGATCATTGGGGGCAACCCAGGAGAATTATATGTGTGTTGAGACTATATCCCTGTGAGAACACATTGTAACTTGACCACTTCCGTTCAGAGAGGCAGTACCAAAAGGAGTCGGACATTCCTGTCGGGCCCTGTTCTTTGTCTCAGGAGAAAAGGTGGTAGCCTTCACAGCCTCTTCACCTGTCTTCCGAAGCACCAACCAATTTCCGCCTGGGTATTATTTCACAAACACACTGCCCTGCCTGCCAGAAATACTTGCCAATCAGTCATGTATTTGGATTGCACCATTCTAGGGAGCATGTTTGTTGTGTATCAAGCTCACTGCATACATTTGCAGCAAACCTCCCCCTGCCCCTCCACCCCTCCCACTCCCACAAAGGATGTAATACAAATTAGGTAAGGTCTGGCTTGAGAAAGGAAGAAGTGGTAATTTGGTGCAGAAGGTTGGGGGAGGAGAGACATGTGAGCCAGCGTGAAGTACGAGAGGCTTTGATGAGCAACCAGAGACACAGGTGATTGCCTCCATTTATTTAATAATGTAGACTGCACAAGAAGAACCTAAGGAACTTTAAAAATTCCCTATCATTTCAACATCTCTCAGAGTGGGAACCTAACGTCAGTATTTTGGAAAGCCCCCAAGGTAGTTCCAATGTCCAGCCAAGGTTGATAACCCCTGGAAGACAGGTTCGTCTGCCTTGGTGGGTGTCCAGTCCCACTTCTAAAGCGTCAGGAAAGGCAAGCTGTAGCAGCTACAGTGTTGGCTGGATTAATAATTATTCTGTGCAACTTAAAACAACTTTTCTGTGCAAATTTTTGACCAGCCAGTGCCTCATTAACTCTTAACAATTCTTTCGTGATTTTTCTCCCATGTGACTTGGCCGTTATCCCAATTCAAACATCTAGGTTTTGATTGTCTTATTCATGTGCTATCACAAGACACCAGAAATATAAGAAATTCAACAGCATGTAAAGCTAAGCAGAAAACTAATTCTTAATAGTTGGATAAGCCCTTCTTTCACTACAATGAAATGAGCCATTCAAAATTTCCATCAAATTAGGGAAATGTGTAACTTCTTATTGGAATATAATATAAATTCTCAAAACAATCATTCACTAAATCGGATCCAAATTTATTGTTCATTCTTTGGAGGAGACAAGGGTACCATGTACCTGTTTTGCTATAGGTGTATTTTATTGGAGTTGATCGCAACAAGAAGTGAGAACAACTATTCCTTTTTGAACAGGGCCACTTGGATTTCTTAGTTACTTGGACATGTGCCTAAAAGGAGAAGAATGTCTGTAACTTACTAGCAGGCCTCCAGTGCCTAAAAGAGTGCTTTCACCTTCCCAAAAGTCTGCCTAGCCAAGGCAGTAACACTCGGTGAGATAACTCAAGAGTTCTCTCCTCTCATACTGCTCCCCTCTGGTAATGGCCCACCCTTCTCAAATGCAAAGCCAGAAAATAAACTAGATGGTGGTTATGGACAAGTGTACACAGGATCAAAATCTCTAATAACTGATAATTTTTAGTACTTAATTATGTGATGTTTTATTCTAGGAAAGAAACAGATGACATCATTGATGTATCTTTCATCTTCAGAATTTTTGCATCTTTTCAGAAAATGACAAATTACTATTTTTCTGTTGCACTCAGCAATTGTGACAATACTTAAAATTCTTGTAGTCTGTAGAGATATCAATAAAATTGTATATGTTTGTACATAGATGCTCTCTTATGTTATGATGCAACTACTGAGTTTTGCTAAGATTAAATCTGGACAGAGGTAAGACCTGCATGTTGTAACACTGTAACCCACGGTTTTGCAGAGTTTAACTGTTTTTAAAAGGCAGGGAGGCAGGTGGGGGAACAATGTACAGCATGTTTATCTGAACTAAAGAAGAAAAAAAAAACTAAACACAAGTTTCCCCAAACTCATGGATTTTACTAGAGTTTATTAAACCAAAAGGATAGAAACAGCCATTCAAAATTTCCATCAAATTAGGGAAATGTGTAACTTCTTATTGGAAGGTTTTACAGTTTTTGAGGATGTTAACTGATTTCATCTTTGGTGAAGAAATAAAATTAAGTTTGGTAAAGGGCAGCAAGAAGAAACAGAGCAAGTAAGCTGTACTTAACGGCTCACCAGCCACACCTTATTTATGGGCTTATACCGCCACCCAGTGGTTACAATGAACACTCACTGACCCAATGCCTCCAAAGTCCCCCGGAGAGCTGCTCCTGCTCCCCTGGCTTTCGTCTGCATAGTTAATTCCTCTTCAGGCACTTTCTTCATGTTTCCCTACAATGTGACCTTAGTCAAGTAATCTTATTCTTCCAAATGCTCTCTGATTACCTCAGGAAAAATGTCCAACCACAACTTCCCGCCTAGTTGTTATTCCATATAAAAATGTAAAAACCAACCAACTATAGGCTAAAAGGTGTTTTTCGATTGAAAGTACAAATATAAAGACAGACTCTTCAAAATCCAAATGCTCAGTCTTCCCTTCTAACTTTCTCAAAAGAATCAATTTACATCCTCACTCTTCTCGAATTAGAATCCTCAGGCTTCACATATCTGCATTCAGTATTGAAAATACGATTTGACTTCTTTCCTTCCTGCCCTCCTTCCTCCCTTCCCTCTTCCTTTCCTTTTTATCCATCCATTCAGTCTAAAAGCCAACCAACCTGAGCAAGCTGATGGCAGCCCCATGCAAGGCCCACCCTGGAGCAGGGCAAGAAGGGCAGCCCACAGGAGGGCAGAGTTGGAGAGAGGTGCCGGGCCAGCCCTCAGGGGTAATGGTGGCCTGCGCGAGGCAGGCACTGGGGCAGGGAGGAAGGCAGCCCAGTGGGTCAGGAGACTGAGGACTGGGCCATCAAGTGAATATACTGAGGACACAGGAACCAGGTTTCTTACGATGGAAAAGAGTAGTACAAATAAAAGGGAAAGTAAGAATAGACCCAGTAGTTTGGATTAGAATTGGAACCATCAGTGTGAGTTATAACACACACACACACTGTAAAGTGTGTGTATATATATATTTGTATATATCTCCTAATTCCAAACACTGAAAGGACTGGGAGCAATAGCCTAGGAGCAATAAGCACACCTAGTGCTTGGATTTTGATTTCCAAACACTATTCTCCATGAAAAGCAAGTGGGGCTCCTTGAAGAACTAGCTGAGTTCGAGGCTGGAATGTGTTTTTGTGCCAGAAAATAAAGTATTCAAAGAATGATGGGATGTGTCAGAGGGACACAGAAACCAGCATGAAGGGTCCACACAGGTCAAATCAAGGATAATTTGAGTATCAGAGGTAATGATAGTAATTGAATAAGATTGGTACTCCCAAGTCCACACTGATGAAAAGACTAGAAGAAGAGAAACCTCTTACTTACAATAGAATGTCAACCAATAAATGTGGATGGGATTTTTAAATTGCTATTTGTCAATCACTGGTTATAGTAATAACATGGGCAACAGACCTGTAGGTGCTCAAACTAGTGACTAAAGTGCAATGGAGGAATAAAATATTTACATAGTCTCAAAGTACCTTCACAAAAAATTACTCATTAATCATAAAAAAATAAATATAATTTTATGCTAAAGAAACCTGGCAGACATTATTTTAAGTGATCACAGTCACCATCACCAGTAAGGGAACAAATCAACACCGTGCCGCCCGCCAGTATGGAATGAGAACTCTGTGGCTGTTCTGCCGAACATGCATGACCCGGTCTAATTATGAGGAATAGTGGGTACGACCAGATTGAGAGACATTCTGTAAGACAACTGCCCTGTACTCAAGATGTTCAAGGTCATGAGAGTCCAGGAAAGGTGGGTGTTGCAGATTTAAGGAGACTAGAGAGACATGACAACTGGGTGCAACTTGTCTCAGGTGGAATTTTTTTGCTAAAAAAGACATAATTGGAGCAATTTACAAAACTTATGTGTGGTAGTGGGATTCTTTGTACTATTCTCGAAACTTTTATTTGGGCTTGAAGATATTTCAAAATTAAATTATAAAAAATATATTTTAAATTTTGTTAAATTACTTGGATTTCAATGACATTTTCTACCATCTACTTGTCAAGACAGCTGATTTATGGGTTAGTTTCCTGAACTGGTTTGGAATAGGAATCCAACCGTTATTTAGAATTCTTCTTAAAAATGTCTTTTCATTACACAAATACTACATGAATGCATATTTATAATCACACCAAATAATAAATTTAGACAAGAAAAGTGAAAATTTCTCTTGGTTATCTTCTACATTTATCTATACTAGTTATGGGTGTATTGTGTTGCCTTCCAAACAATTTTCTGTGCTACAACTTGCTTATTCATGTACCTATTATGTCTGCTACCTTCCCATGTCAGTACTTATAAAAACCATTCATTCTTTTAACTTATGATTCCATGGTGTCAATAAAGCATAATTTATATTCCTTTACTAGGAAACATGTAGATATTTTCCAGTCCCTTAATATTATTGTCAAGACTGCAGTAAACATTGTTGCACATGTATTTTGTGTATTGTAAGGGCTTCTGTAGGGAAAATACCATGGAATGGAGTCAAAGGGCATGCTTGTTTAAACCATGTAAATAGATATTGCCAATTAAACCATTCTCCACCAATATATAAGAATTACTTTTTTCCTACATCTTTGCCTATTTTCAGTAATATTATTTTTTCACAATGTGAAAGGTGAAAATGGCATCTTACTGTTTTTATTAGAATTTTTCTGTTCAGTGAAACTGAACACTTTTTAAGATAGACACTCTTATTCACTCTTCTGCGACTTGTCTGCTCATAATTTTTCACTATTTTCTCTGAATAGTTCTGTCCAAATTTGGTTTAGATGTTGGGGCTGCTAACACCACACATACCCTAAGAGGATATGAAAAAGGGTTATTACAAAAGAGATTTTCAGGAGAGAGCAGGGTGGCTCCCAAACTGGTCCAAAAATGGCTTGAGACAACAAGAAAAAGAGACCGGCTTGGGGCTCTTCCTGGGCTTAGGGGGTGGGGCGTGGGTTCACAGGAAGGAGCTTGCTTGGGAAAGAAGGGAGCCTCCTGCTTTCTTCTCAGCTCACCCAGATGGGGAAAAGGGAGAGAGACAGTGAGGCTGAACACTTGTCAGCAAACACCAGAAGATGGAGTCGGTCCCTTTATTATACGTTACTTGTCTGTCATTGATTTTTTTATTATAACTCTGGGAATTAATATAGCTTATTTATTTTCTATAACTGATTTTTCCTTATTTTGAGTCTTCCTAAGGGCCATTCAGATATTCTCTCTCCCTCTTTCTTTTTGAAAGATTGGCTTCTGGATTAAGAAGAAGGCTTATATGACCTCATGGCAAGAGAGGAGGGGTACTGGTCCTTTGCCTCTGTGTCATCTATGATTCCCTCTGTAATAGTGGCTGGTCTGTTCTAGACACTTGAGCACCTTTCACTGATTTGTGCTTAAGGGCAGTTAGTGAATTTGTGGCTTGCTCTCTTTTGGGG